GGCAATGGCACTGGCAAGGGGGGGCAACATTCAGTTGGGGCTTGGCTTATGCGGTCTGCTGAGGGGGGGACATCATCCAGGGACTCCTCTTCGACTCGGCAGGAAAGCTGGAGCAGAAGCAAAGCAAAGATGGACATGAACCTGCTCTCAGCAGAACATTGCCCCCCACCGCGCTTCCATCTACCATCCGCTACCTCCCATTCCCCACTCGCGCTCTGCTGACACGCTTGCAAATGTCCCCTCTCCATCAACCTCGATCAGGTCCTTCTCGATGCTACGCCAACTGGCAAGAGTTCATGTCTTGCTACGCTTCGGCCGATACGCCTACGCAGTGCATTCGACCCAGGGACGATTATCTGGAGTGCTTGCACCATACCAAGGAGGTGAGTCTCTTTGCGCGATCGTCGCTGCATGGCGGACGCGCGAGGCTTTCGCAGAGCAGAGCAGAGCAGAGCAGAGCAGCGAGAGAAATGGGTGTGGGTGGTGAGGAGGAGCAGTAGCGGTCATTCTGGCTCCAGATTGCGTCTAGCACGCACGCACGCACGCGGCAGTGGGAGTAGACTGTCTAAAGTTGCACTCGGCTAGGCCTTGGTCGATGCTTCATTCGATGGAGCGGCAGGTTCATGCAGCGAAGGGACGATGCCGTGCCTGCTTGCTTGCTGCAAGGCTCTCAGAAGAGCCCAAACTGGGACGCTGTCCCGGTGGACAAAAAGCCCCCGATCCCATCGTTGCTGAACACGCACGCTGCTTCTCTCCTCGCCTTCTCACGCGTCCCTATTCAGATGGCACGAGCCAAGACGATCCGAGAACACTGGATCCAGCGTCAAGCTCACGATGCCAAGAAAGCGCGAGAAGCTGGAGAAGTTCGAGCTACGGGCAGCATCATGAGTTTGGGACTTGTGGAGCAGGGCGCAAAGGGAGAACAAGAGCAGCAGCAGCAGCAAAAAGAGTCCAAGTGACGGCCGGGCGGCAGCGACATGGATGCCGACACTTGATTTGGACGATTTACACTTTCGAATAGGGAGGCAAGGCGTGCGCAAAGAAATGCCAACGATAGAAACCCCCCCCCCAAATGAAGCCTCGGCCTCGTGCGCGATGTCCTAATCCGAATTCCGCTTACCCTCAGCACAGCCCCAGGCCTCAACGAGAGATGCTCCACGCACGGTTCGCCCTCCAAATTCACCTCCTTTTCGATCCGATGGCAAGGCCGATCAATGAAATGGCGAATACAGCTCGCTCGCATATATCAATCAGTGCGTCGCT